GACGATTAGCGTCAAGCTGTGGCCACGCCGGGGGCCAAGTCGCGGGGGGTGGTGGAGGATGTTATTCGCAAGGGGGAGGGCTTCAGCCACCGACACCAAGTGGAGTGAACTGCTACAGGTCTTCCGGATTACCCCTCCCCTCCGCGGCAAGATCCGCCGTCTGCGGCCTACTCCCCTGGCCGTCCAGACCTCGGGACACTCGATAGACTTGGGGGGGGGATGGTTTTCTACGATTTGAGCCACTGTTCCTTCATGCGCCATATTGCCTTATACGGTCCTTTTGACCTTACTCACAAAACTCTGTCTGAAATGAAGCTGCCAATCTATAAAGAACAAGTGAACATGTTTTTTTTCATGAACTGTGCCCAGTAGGTGAAGCAGGTTTCTGCCAGAGTGACTTTGGAATTCTGCCCATCGATACTCGAAGTCTTCTTACCTATCTTCCGCTCGTATTTTTTTCCTCATAACTTATTCGTAATACATAGGTATCTGGTTAGGGTTGGGTACTGTCTCCAAACGGACCAAGGAAAATTGCAGTCTCTATCAAAACCGATTCATGTGGGATTAAACTCGCGGCTCCCGGTGGGGCCTCGTGGCTTAGTTAGCTAGAGCGTCGGCTGGCGTGGATTCAAATCCCACTGAGGTCACTGAGTTTTTCACAGCTGGGTCAGATATTTAGAAAAACGATTCAGTCAAAATGATGATTGGCGGCGCAGTGCCATGACGGCACCTCTATTCGGCTAAGTGGTTGTTCAGCGTTTGCTCCATAGAAAGTTTGAGAGCATTCAAAATTGGTCAGTCGAGCTCAACTGATGCCAGCGGATACCTGAAGTGGGTATGGAATAACCGCTCGTTCAAGTGGCTGCTATAGTCGAGATATTGTCCAACTCAAACTGTCCCCTACTCCCCATAGACCCCAGATCTTGAACGCCAGCCACATTTATACGAAGAATTGCAGGCTCGGCATTGATGGCAACTATGGCCGCAGACAGTAATAGTAGCAACAAGATTCGGCCTCTCAAAACTGACTGCCTAAAACACGAAATGGAGGCAAGCAGTGATGTTGTGAACCCACTCAATTAGTCTTCCAAAAGCAACGTATTTGATACTCAACGTCTCCCTTGTGTTATCCTCAAACAGTAGAGTCCGCTAACGGCTATTTAGTTGTCAAAATTTAGGGGAACGTTAGCGGTTGTTGTCGACGTCCCACAAGCGCACGTCACTGGTGTCTATACATACTCAATAAAGAACTGAGTTTTCTAACTGGCGCCCACGTACTGCCCAGCCATTCTGGATGTAAACACTAAAAACTATTAACTTGTGGACGGCTGACTAAAACGTAAGCAGCTGTTAGCCATTGGAGGTAGGCACCATTTTGCCGGCGTCCGCTGCGCTATAAATCAATGCATTACCGTAAAATGTAGCGGAAACGGTCAACAACAACAACCTGTAAATGAAAAGGATAATGGTATCCTGGCAACCGCATTCTGCGAACTCTCAATTAATCACCAGCTATGGTCTAACTATTGTCCAAAGGCTTAATCTAATCTGGGCTAAAGCATGACAACCGACTGAGGTTTGTGCGAATGCTTGAATACCGGGTGGTAACTCACAGTCACAAGTTACGGATTGACAACTGCCTTGCTTTAGCCTCAAACTTTCGTGTTTGTCCCAAGACTGGACTGTAACCGTTTGGTGTAAGAAAGTGTGTGTGCTATGCAGACAATGGCGTTTTAGAACCTGTCAATTACGTTCCAGTGTTTGTTTAAATAATGCCCGACGCCTACCTGCTCGGAGCCTCAATTGTGGACGGGCACCTATATTTGGGTATAAGGAAAGAGAACGTAAGTAGCCGCTGCCGAGTTCACGTCGATGGATATCTCCTACTGATATGTACTTACAGGACCGACAGACTTAATAAGACTGTTTGCCGCGTGCTGGTTTATATAATACCCAACATCTATGAGATTGAATATCCGAACGTTCACGGGCACCTACTTTTATGTTATGATTGGAATATATGCGGGGGGGCTTTGGTAGTCGTTCTCGAGTCACTTTTAGCGAATACAACTTTTTAGTTTATAAAGGCGAAGTGGTGAGTTTCAGGTGACAGTGCAGAATACTGCACTAATTATGTGAAAGGCTCTGATGATTGGTTCGAAGGAGAATTCTAAATGACCAGTCAATAAATGTCTTGCCCCAGGGGTCGCATATCCTTTCTCTTCTTTTTCATTCTACAATTTGTTACACTACGCTAAACAGAAGCCCCCCATACACGAGCGATTTTATTTAAAGCGTTCTAAATTCAGAATGACTAAAATAATAAAATTCGAGTAACTTTCGGTATAAATATTTCATGAAGCAATAAAAAACTCACTTCCTGGATGATACCATCCACCAGAATTCGTGCGCGGCGTTCTCGGACGTTGTTGTCGAGGACATTCTCCAACATGGGCGTATAGAAGTTTTCGTCAATTTCTTGAGAATTAAATTAGAAAATTTGGGAAGTAAATGCAGTAAATACAGTTTTGCCTGTGAAGTTAACATACAGTATGCAGTTTATATTGAATGGGAGATGAGAGAGAATGGTGTTAACTTCCGAGATCAGTGAACCAAACCTTCAAAAGCCGTACTTTCTTTCTGGTTGTGCAAAATCATGCACGGTGGGTCAGTTTTCTATGCAACGTGATTTAAACTGCACAGCAGTTATAATAAACAGGTGAACGCAACTCGCGCAGTGGCACCATAAGCATAAATTAGTCAGTCTTTTCATATCATAAGGATATATTATTTGTCTGTGCACCGATCTGT